CTCAAGTTGCAGTGGGGGAGGTCTAGGTTGGAGATTAGGAAAAACTATTTCACTAGGAGGGTGGTGAAGTACTGGGATGGGTTCCCTAGGGTGGGGGTGGAATCTCCATCCCTGGAGGTTTTTAAATCCCGGCTTGACAAAGCCCTGGCTGGGATAGTTTAGTTGGGGTGGCCCCGCTTTGGGCAGGGGGTTGGACTCTGACCTCCTGAGGTCTCTTCCAGCCCTGGGATTCTATGTCACTGAGCCAGGTCCCAGCTCTTGCAGGGAAGTTTTCACTGCCTTTTCCAGCCTTTCCAGCGCTTGGCACAACAGCCGGGAGCTGCTTCAGGGACATTTTTACAATCGGAGTTTCGGGGTGGGGCACCTGGAACGTCAAGAACCTGCTGTGCAGAAGCGGCTCCCTAAATTCTGCCCTCCTGCTTCTGGAGCGGAGCCCTGCCCTTGCGCGGCCCCTCCCAGCCCCCGGTACCTTTCTGCTCCAGTAGCTGTTGCAGAGCCGGAAGGCCGGCGACTTGGTGCCGTCTAGGTTGATCACCTCTGGGAAATCGCAGGTTTCGTTTCTGGAACACAGGAGGAGGGTGAAGTCTGCGGCCCTTCCCGGGAGGGAGGGGGGCTTCTGCAGCTTGCTGGAGTCTGAGCCCCCAGGAAACAGCCGAGAGTGCAGACAGCACCTCGGTGTCCGGCTAGATACATGGGGCCCCGGGCGCCTCTGAAAGGCAGAGCAGGGAGCCCACGTGGCCCCAGACTTGCCCGGCGGTGCCAGCCCGGCTGTGAGGAGCTGGCAGGGAGGCGCCGGGCGGGGGATGCTTTGGAGGGTTGTGTCTTTTGGGGCCTGGGAAGGACCCCTCCTTGTGGAGCGGAGCAGCCCTGGGACCTGCCTGGCCCAGCCGCCCACAGGCCTGCCCAGCAGGAAGGCAGCCCCACCCCCCACAGGGCTCCCCTACCTCCTGTAGACTCCGGGGGGCACCATGGTCGCCAGGGCCTGCACCATGGCCACCAGGAACTCGGGGGAGATGCTGGGAACCACGTGCTGCTTGTAACCTGCAACGAGGAGCAGCTCTGAGCTGCAGCTTCCAGCACAGGGGTGAAGAGCCTCTCCTACCCCTTCCCC